GAGCTTCTAACAGCAGCTGCAGTGACACTACCAATTGGCGATTGGTTCTTTCATTTAAAAGTTTGGACTTATTCCGCCATATTGTGCGTTGCACTTTTTCTCATTTATAGCAACATGAGTGCACCATCTTGGTCTATCGAAAGGCTTTGGTAGTACAGTCTGTCGTAGATTTCTCACCGGTTATACTGTACAATCCGGCAAGCAGCAATTGTAAAGGACAGAAAAATCATATAGTGTGCATCAGCCCTAAATGAAAGCTGTTTTTTGTTGAAGATTCAAATAAGACGTAGACTATGTAGACTGTGTGGACTAGTTAGCTAAAATCATACAATAAAAATGAAAATGTTTTCTAATTTCTAACTTCGGTCCCACATACCACTTATCCACTCTACTTGCGTCAAAAAACAAGTACAATGTACTTACTGTGTTCATGTTGTACTGCAAAATACTTTTGCTGCTTTTGAGGTGGGATACAGGTAAGGTTAGGGACAGGTTTGGTGGTATGGGTAGGTTTAATGGTGGGTTAAGGCGTAAGGGATGGGTCAACAGTCTAACTATAAATGTAATTACAGGAATTAATTACAGGTGTAGTTACATGCAGGTATTCTTAAAATAAAAGCACAATGTAAAAACATAATTTAATAATTTATGCATTTAGCAGACACTTTTACCCAAAGCGACTAACAGTGCATTCAGGCTATACATTTTTTACCAGTATGTGTGTTTCCTGGGAATTGAACCCATGACCTTTTGCGCCGGGAACGCAATGCTCTACCACTGAGCCACAGGAACAAAAACATGTATGCACACAATAAGTGCATTGTACCAAATGATTCATAAATGTATGTACATAGTAGTTAAAGTCACTTAATATAAAGTGTGACCCTTTCTAACTAAATTCATAATTCAGAGGCCAATATTGAAAAAAAAAACAAGGTTGGAAAAAAGGTTGAAGGCTTTTCTGTTAATTTTGCAAAACTGAACCCAATAATCATTATCAATCGAAATTTTAATAGCACTTCTGTACTAAATTGCAGGTTGTAACAAACAATCTGATGAAGTGAGTAAAGCTTACTTAAAACAAACTGCCTTTTATGCCTTGTATGCTTTTGTCACTCCATGGAATGACACACACATGCACATAAAGAATCATGTGAGTGCACCATATGATGTTATATTCATCACATGCATTCATATTTCATCCATGTTGTGCACAGAATCAGCAAAGCAGAAAAAACCTTCTCAAGATGTCATCATTATATTTCAACCCCTTAGATTTATTATTACGAGTATAGTATGTGTTTCTGAAAACTTTGGCAACAATTCTGTAGTAGAGATACCTGTCACATTATGCAATGAAACACCCAGACCAAATGTCAAAAAGTGCATGGAATTCATACGAAATACTCTGTGTCACTGATGACTCTAGAATGAGTGTCGAATTCGCTGTGACAAGTGATAGCTCCACTAATCGCAAAACTACTTGTCTTCCTATAACATTTGGCCAAAATTATGAGAAATGCTATTAAAGTGAGCTTTAGCAATGTTGTACCAAGGGAAGCTGCATATGTACACATGAGACACATAAAAAAAGCTATATTTATGTATGCATGTTTAGATAAATGACTTTGCTCATATCGTTAATAAGCTTGCTAATATTGCAAGGGTTCTGTCCCCATATCTTCAGAGTGAAGCTCTGGCCTTTGTTAATATTATTTCAACTTTCACTCCCTGTTCTTTTATCTCTCAGGTATGCTTCATACTTCCTCTTTTACACATACACACTCTGCTGATGCTATTTCGAGTAAGGAACTGAAACTAGACAGCTAGACATGCACATCTTACTTAAACCTTATAATCAGGTAACATGTAACTCATGAACACAGTACTTTGATTGGATGTCCAGGCTGATAATGTTTGTATAAATATGACCTATCTTCCTAAATAAAGTTGAGAATGTTGTGGTAGTGCACCACCTATATATTTACTATACCATTTATATAGGGTAATTATCAGATAAAACACAAATTGATTATTTCTTGTTTTTTTTTATCTTGAGTTTAATGCAGCAGAGCTGTAACCAGCATTAACCATTATTTTAGAGGAGGGGTGTAAAGAGGAGGCTTTTACTGGCTTGGTGCTTGACTCCCCTAAAACCCCACCTCTCTCTGTTCACCAAGTGTGCTCCATGTTTTGGGTGGTTGTGGATTTGTTGTTTTTGTATCCCGCACTTGAGCTTGTGTTACCTTGTATAAACACATATATAGAAATATATAGAGGTCTGAATGTCTTAACACTCACTGGTTTGCACAAGCTTGCACTGAGACGCCACACTCAACCTCCTCACACAAGAGAAGTCAACTGAAAAAAAATCGGTGTTGACAGCAGCTCTCCTCTGTGAGGAACAGGGTAGTAGCAGGAGCGAGAGAGTGAAGAGAGGGAGGAGGGAGTGAGAGTCAGAGAGAGAGGGGGAGAGAGAGAGAGAGACTTGTGCATTGAGAGCCAGCCTCAGCCTCTATTGTGGTAAGCAGGCAAGGGAAGGCGTTTAAAGAGCAGACTTTAAACCCACAGGCGCAACACTGGTCACCGCTGTAGAGACCCCTGAAATCAGAGGACAAGGCAACATGGAGGAGGACATGGATGAGGGACAGACCCAGAAGGGTAATGGAATGCTTTTTTCTCCATTGTTTTCTCATCCATCTTTCCGAGTGTGTTGTTTACCTTTGTGCCTAATCCCTGACTGCTTTTCATTGTCTCTGATCTTGTGGATTATAAAACGAGATTATGAACACTATCAGAATATAGGTTTTTATTTTTTCCATGCGGGAAGAAGTGTATTCTGACATATTTTCAATTCAAATTTTTAATGAATTCACCATTGATGTATTTCATGCAAACACTGTGATGCAATGCATGATTTTTTAGTTTTTGAAATATATGAAAATAACATGGTTTAGCAGATAGGATGCTTACATAAAAAAAAACAAATTGTTATATTTTCGATAGGACAATGATTGTAGAGGGGTGTGTGCAGGGGATGGATCCCGTCTTGGCGTGTGTGTGTGTGTGTGTGTGTGTGTGTGTGTGAACAATCTGATGGGTCTGTCTTTGTTTGCCGCGCATTTCTGTCAGTCTGTCTGAGGGAGGCTGAGACAGACGGGAGAACCGTCTTCTGCATGCAGTAGACATTTATATCATCCTAATTCAGCCATTGTTTCCCCCTCTTTCATTTTTTGGCTTGGTCTTTCATTTGTGTGCAGGAGCATTTGTTTGCTTTGTGTGAGAGGGAGCTTGCTATTTATAATACCACCATTTGCAGGGGCTGAGGTTTCGAGCTCAGGGTGGAAATCACTGTATGTCTTTTTTCTTTGGTGGTCTATAGAGAAATATTTGCAAATGACATGCCGAGGAGCCGAAAGAAAGAGAATAAAAATAATCGAAATACCAGCCTTCGGAACTCTCTCTTCCTCCTCCTCTCGCTCCATCTATGATGGCTCTTTATATTTCAGCGATTTTCCCCTCCTCCCTTCTAAAGCAGTGTGATGATAGCAGCCATGTCAGGTCTGCTGTGCTTAGACTGTCAGTGGGCTTGTGTGATATTTAACACATGAAATATGAGAGAATCACTGATTTATGCTCAACCTGCTGGGGTGCTTTGGTGTTTTATTATTGTATTTATTGTTTATTTGATTTGTTGAACCAATAGATGCCATGATTGGATGCATCTAATAATTTGATCAAAAATTCACAAATGCATAAAATCTGTAAACATTCATTAATTATTATTTTTCTATGTTTTTATGTTGTTTTGCATATAGCTAGATGTTTTGTTTATATAGGAAATGCTTATTGTCCGTAAAGTGCACCTGATGAACTTCTTGATAAAAATGCAAGTCTAGTATAAGATGTATGTCTCATTTGACATGTTTTTTTCTTTAATATTTTAAAATATGTGAGTGAGATTTCCAAATTGATCTGTTGGTATTTAGGAATGCCAAAAAGCAAGACTTAATAAAACTTTGACTGATGAACGTTAATTCGTTTATAAATTCATAAATATTTTAATGTTATTATTATTGTTGTTATTAAGAAAAACATTTTAGTTGACCAACAGTTTTTCATCTACATTTATGCATTTGGCCAACCTTTTTGTGCAAAGCAACTTTGCATTTAAGGTTCACTTTTTTAATAAGTTTTTTTTTTTAAATAAGTTGTTTTTTATAAGTTGAACCCATTACCTTGGCATTGTTAGCACCATGCAATTCTGTTTGAGCTACAGGAATACTTTACAATTTATTCAAAACAAAACAAAACAAAAAAATAATGCCAAATTCCCTAATTCAGTGCCTGTTGACCTAACACATAATACTTACTAATGCTACAATAATTGCAACACGTATTTCTTAACTCCACAACAGAAAGCCATCAATCTCATAATCAGCTGTAGTATTCACAGACGTGCATTGACCGGTGTTCTGACCCTACCGCTGCACAATAGATGGAGTGGGGAACTAAGCGGCCTCATGGGAGAATGGACATTTCATTACCTCTCATGATTATTGGATTAGAGGACATTAGGCCGTTAACACACACAGATACATCCCACTCCTCATCTTTTATTTATGGCTTTTTCCTGCATATTTCTGTCATCGCCACTGTAGACAGAGTTCAGTCTGTTAGATGGGCTCTTATCAGTCCCTATTGACTGTGTAACATCATCTGCTGATAAGATTCTGATAAGAGACACTCATAAAGTGAGTTTGCAGCATTGTGTGCTGTTATAGAACGAAACAGTGTGAGGGAATTTACATGTGTGTAACAATTTAAATATTGATATACGATTTAGCACACAGATTTTTGCCCGTTACCTCACAGGTGTTTTGCCTGCCAGTTCAATACGCCTGTGTCTTCTGCACATGTCTGTTTACGTTCTGACATCAGAACCTGACAGAAACCGGGCAATATTACAATGTTATGTTAAAGTTTTCTTGCATGGTATTGAGTTGATTTTTGATAGTATACCTATATTTTGTTGTACTGTGCGTGTAAACACACTCACTTATAAGAGATTTTTATGCACACCATTGCATGTTGTTATGCCTCTTGTACTATTTTTAGCAGCTCAGCATCCTAACAAACCATACATCAATGGAAAGCTTATTTATTTAGCTTATAGTTTTCAGCTGATGTATAAATCTCAATTTTAAAAAACATTTGACCCTTATCACTGGTTTTGTGGTCCAGGTTCACATTTAAAAAATCTAAAGAACGTTTTTCGAGTATAAAGAACCTTATCTACATTTGAAAGGGTGCATGGATGTTCAAGGTTCTTCATGGCACCATAAAGAACTTTTATTTTTAAGAGTGCATGGAGACTTAATGGTTTCCTTTCTGCTGAGAGAAGGTATGGAGGGAAGTGTGAGAATCTTCTAGCGGCCCCAGCAGCAGCAGCGGGGTTGGATGAAGTCGTGTAGTCTTGGCCGTTCCTGCTGCGTTGGATGCTGGACTGTGTTTCCCCCTCTGTAATCCTTGTAAATGTGTCTCCCATTCATCCCGTTTGCCTCTGAATGTGTTGACACACATCTATAAATAATGTTTAAAAATTGTGTGTGTGTTAGTGTGTGTGTGTGTGTGTGTGTGTAATAAAATAAAATTTGGGTTAATGAAAACAATTTTTATAAGTTTTATATCAAGTTTTAGTAACCAATAACAACTTGGCCGAATGTATTAATGCGAAATTCATCTGGAAAGTTTAGTTTAGGTTAATTGTTTAATAGATTAATTAATGAAATGTCAGACTGGCTCCATTAATCTGGCTAACCATCATTGAATGGTTTAGTTTAGTATCTTGGACTGAAATTTGGTTTCTTTCATAACAGAGAGTTGCATTGGTACAGTTGCCAGAGAGGCTATCCTGTGAGAATTTGTATTGTAAATAAGATGCAGTGCCCTGTATTAACAAAGTGTGTGAGCTGCATTCATTTCTAATGCCATTTCATGGTCTAACACCCTTGAGTGATGAATATAAGGCTGCATTGTAAGGTAATGCAATTTGTGGTGGATTCAGAACATGTGATTACTCTCAGCCAACCAGGAGTCATGCAGTGGTTTCAATAGTGCATAGAATCTCATAACAGGATCAAAGGGGCCAGCAGTATTGTATATGCTAATACTGTTATGCAAAATGACAGGAATATAAACATTTATTATTTATAATTATAAGAACACACATTTATCTAAGTAATACTTTTTTTATATGTGAAATAAAAAAACTTTTCCACAACATTCTAATTTATTGAGATGCACCGGTATATAGTTTATTTATATTTAAATGCTGAACATTGCAAACCTATATATCTATCAAGTACTACAAATAATCAGACCCTGTCTATATTCTACTCCTTGCAATCCAAAGCAGTTGCTATGGCAACAGGTTGATCCCTTGCCACTGTATAGCCAGGTCTGAGGTTCATTACAGCATCATTACCATAGCTGTGTTTGACAGTATTCAATGATTCACATTCAACGCCTGAAATGGGAGCAATAGCCCCATCAAACCATGCTCGTAACTCTTCGCAGTGTAAATCATGCAAGTTCCTGCACTCGTTTTGAAGGACTGGCAAATAAACACTGAGTGGGAACATATGCGGGCTGAAATCAAAGTTTATTCATCCTCTATAAGTATAAATGCCAAACTTCCCACACTGCAGAAAATGCAGTATGGACCGATTATGTAGAAATGCTACTGTATAAAAACAGTTAATTAACTAACTGTATAAATGCTATTATGTTTTTAAAAATAATTTATTATTAAATAATGTAATTATATATTCAGAAATATAAAATATATATTATATTAATGTTAAATATGACTATTTATAAAATAAGGCTAAAATTATGTTTTTATTTTTTATTGTCATCTCATAATGCTGAAATATTGTCACTGTATTTTTACAGTCAATGTAAAGGTGACATATCATGAAAATCTGACTTTTTTCATGTTCAAGTGCTATAATCGGGTCCCGGTGCATCTACAAATCCAAAAAACGTGAAAAAGAACAGCCCAGTATTTTTTTTGGTAAAAATCTTTCTGCAAGCTTGTGAAAAAAATTAGTTGCTCAGATTTCACTCCCCCCGTGACGTAGAAAGGGGATCTTATTATAATATTACTGCCCCTTAATCTGAAAGTTTCCACCCACATCGCCGCCATTGTGTTTTCACAAGCGACAACTACCAGTTCTAATGCCTTGGCAAAAGTTCGAGAAAAGCATGAAATCTCTTCTGACTTTGGTTTGTGTGTATAAACTTGTGTGTATTTGACAGTTTAAGTGTAATACGACATGAAAGAGAACTTAATTTAGTACTCACATGCCGTGTGACAGCTGCTTTCTGTGTGCGTGCGCTCAGAAAACCGTATATCAGAAGTTTAAACTGATATGGTTTAAAACGCAAGATTTCAGCACGATAAACATGATAATCAAAACCAAACAGATGTTTTTTAGCAGAGTATCTGAGGTACGAGCTGTAAAGGCACAGCCCTGTTCTGGAAAAGGGGGCAGGGAACAGCAGCTCATTTGCATTTAAAGAGACGTGCACAAAAACAGTGTGTTTCTGCTTCCTCTCAAAATAGGCATTTTCAAAATGATATAAATAATCTGTGGGGTATTTTGAAACGTCACAGACATTCTGGGGACACGTAAAAGGGGGCATAATAGGTCTCCTTTAAGGAAACTATTGCCTTCAGTTTTTGTTTTTAATCATAAAATTAAAACATTTCGTACAGTACATTTTTAACAGATAAGTGAGAACAAAGTTGCTATTAAAAATGTATCACACACTTAAATAAACATAATTAAATGCAAGAAACTTAACTGCAAGTTTGTTTTCTTCTAAACATAATCCACTTGTCTCATCTTTTGCAGAGATGTGAAATCTAAACTTGAAGTAATGAACTTTTGGAATGAAACACATGAAAGCAATCATTTGGAAAAGCTTAACCGGAATGACTAAGTGTCAAATTCCATCCTCGCATCCTACTATCCATTTTGTTATTCATGAATCATACTGTTATGATTCACTCTGATATATGATGCCAAGAGGAGAATTTAAAATAGTCTGCCGCAGGGACAATTTTGCACATCGTTGGAGAGTAACAAACACACACACACACACACACACACACAGAGAGAGAGAGAGAGAGAGAGAGAGAGAGAGAGAGAGAGAGGGAGGGAGGGAGAATCAACTGGACCTCACTGGACCCTCAGACTGAATGGACTGAGGATTTACTTTCAACCGTCTGGGTACTTGTTAGTCTTGTCAGGCAGCTAGACGCTAAGAAGAGCACAGAAGACTACTTACACTAGCTTTGCTTTCTGTGCAAGAATACTGCTCTGTTAAATAACAGAAAACTGTGGAAATTAAACTTAATAAATGCAAAAAAAAAAAAAACTGAACCACAAAACCAAATATGATCAAACACAGACACACAAAATGATGATTAAAAAGCATATTTTTTCCCCCAGCTGTAGCTTTCAGATGAAAAACATGACCTCTTTTTTCTTCCTCTTCTCAGGATGTATGGAGTGTTGTCTGAAATGTCTAGGAGGAATCCCTTATCCATCCCTGATTGCCACCATCCTGCTGTATGCTGGAGTGGCGCTCTTCTGTGGATGTGGACATGAAGCTCTTTCTGGAACGGTCACCATCCTCCAGAACTACTTTGAGGTTATCAGGGGACCTGGAGATGGTCTGGATGTGTTTACAATGTAAGTGTCTGCAGCATATTGAACCACCCGTTTCTCACTGTAGATTTTCATATATATAAATATTATATACAGTACAAATTATATACATTATATACATTTTGTATATAGTGTTTTTTTATGTTTTGTATGCAGCAAAAATATCTAAACATTTTTGAAACAAGAAAGATTTATTAGCGAAGCAAATTTGCACAAAATTAAATAATTAAATAAATAACGAATAAATAAATACAATTGCAAGACACTGGCAGTGTTTTCATGTTTTAAGCATATAGGAGAATGAGAAAACAGACACTTTTTACAATAAATAAAAGTGTCCCCCCCAATAGTTACTATATACATCAGGTTGTTGTGTATGCATGTAAATTAATACAAGTTATCTAATTATTATGGTTTTATAACAATGACCCTTTATAAGAGTTAGTCCTACAATTCACAAAGTAGGAGTAAAATGAGCATGTGAATGGGTTAAATACTAATATAAACACATCATTTTGAGCTTTTTCATGCCATCCGTACATTAGAAATATAAAAACGCGTACTAGTCCTGTTTTTACCTGATTTTTAAATGCTTTACTGGAAAGCTAGAGAAGATACCGAAAATTGTTTTTGCGGTGCATTTAAATAATTTAGAAATGTATGAATATATATACTGACTCATATAATTATTGGCTTGATTTCCTCCATTCCCACAGCATTGACATTATCAAGTATGTGATCTATGGCATTGCCTCTGCATTCTTCGTGTATGGCATTCTTCTGATGGTCGAAGGCTTCTTTACAAGTGGCGCCATCAAGGACCTGTATGGAGACTTCAAGATCACCACCTGTGGACGCTGCGTCAGTGCATGGGTGAGAAATCACTGGGGAAGCTTCATGCATTGTGATTTAGAAAAGGGCAACGGCAAAGCCACTAAGAGTAACTGCAGCACATAAATATGGCATCCGTTTTATAGGCTATAAAAGATTACAGTACATATTGAACTCTGCAAGTTATTCTCCTCTGATTTGTGCAATTGTGAATACATTGTGGTTGCAATTACTGTAATGAATTTATAATGCTTATAATTTTGCCTTTTATTTATTTAGTTCTGTTTTATTCTCAATTAATTTCTAATTTAGTGCTTGATTTGACATTTGGATATTAGTTTTAAACTGTCTTTTTCTTCAGTTCATCATGCTGACGTACATCTTCATGTTGGCTTGGCTGGGTGTGACAGCATTCACCTCTTTGCCTGTCTTCATGTATTTCAACATCTGGACCATTTGCCAAAACACGACCGTTCTGGAAGGAGCAAGTTTATGTCTTGACCCGCGCCAGTTTGGTATGTTTTACAATCTGTGGGTTTTAGTCCCAGATGTTTAGGTGTGGTTAACTGTGCAAAGAAATACGTTTCAATGATAATTTGTTTTTGTTGCTGTAATTTTATTCTTTCTTACTGGTAGTTATCCACAGTGTTGGGAAGGTTACGTTGGAAATGTAATAGGTTATAGATTACAAGTTACCCTATTCAAAATGTAATAAGTAGTGTAACTATTTCAGTTACTTTATTAAAGTAATATAACTGATTAGATTTGATTATTTTTTTTATTTATTTTCTGAATTTCTAATGAATGTTTCCAATGGTTTATCATTTTTAAATATATAAACCAGGCATGGTTAACCTTACAGTAGGACTCAACACTGATTACTGTCAGACATCCTTCATCACTTGAATTAAGATTATAATAATAATAGCCACCATAAAATAAGACTTTAGCACCTCTTTTTACTTTAAGATCACTCTGATTTTTAATTTTTAAATTTCCAGCACTGGAATGCATATTTATCACTATTATTCAACATATCCTAGCTTCTTGCGAAAAATATTCAGATGTAACCCACTTTGTAATCGTTAACATTTTCATGAGTAACTGTAATTTAACTGCACACTTTTTCTTAGTAACTGTAATGGATTACAGTTACATTTATTTTGTAATTAAATTACATTATGCTGTTACATGTAACTAGTTACTCCTCGACATATTAAAAAGTGTAATATTCATTTCTATAGCCTCATAAACACTAAAAACACAGACTGTTCTTAAGGAATAAGAAAACTATTTATTTTAGGTGTTGTGCCCATTGGTGAGGAGAAGACTGTATGTGCAGGATCAGAAAAATTCTACAAAATGTGTGAATCAAATGAGGTGAGTAAACATCTGTATGAAGTAGACAGGTACACTAAAGTCCAACCATTTCAAATGATTGTATAGATCATTTCCACAGTGGAAAGCAATCCAAGGCTCATTTCTCTCTCAATATTTTTTTCCTGAAAGCTGGATATGACTTTCCACTTGTTTGTGTGTGCGTTGGCTGGGGCTGGAGCAGCAGTCATTGCCATGGTGAGTTTTGACTAATAAAATACAATTATACTTAGTTCAGACAATGCATCTTAGAGAAGAGGTTTCACATATGGGTTCAGTGCTGTTTAAAAAATGCATTACACAAACAAATACAAAATTAAGTTAGTAATGCAGCTAAACATTGTTCATTTGTACTACCTCAAGGTAAAACGTAAAATAAAGTGAAATTTAAATCACTCTATACTGCAATTATGATTACATTAATGGTGAAGTGTGCATCGTACCAAAATATGTAAATACTATAAAAAGCAACTCTTAGTTTAACATAATATGAAACTTGCTCCATCTTTTTGTGGGAATTACTTTATATATTATATTATATTATATTAAAATACTATACAAATTGTGATGTGAACAAATGTGAATTTCCCTCTTTTAAACCATCAACAATGTATTGTTTGGGTGATGATGATGCAGCCAGAATTAATGACATCACCTGCTTCAGCTCCTTTATGTGAGTCTAAACTGGAATGGGATAAAGTCATGAATCACTGTCAGTTTTCCTAGGGCATGCTGGGAGAAAAAAAAATTGTGCATTGGGGGCGTTGTCAGCTCTTTCTTATTGGCTTTTCTTTGTTGTTATTTAACATTCTCCTTTTATCTTTGTGGCTGTTTTCGTTTTCCTTCCCCTCTCTCTCTCTCTCTCTCTCTCTCTCTCTCTCACACACACACACACACACACACATACAAGGCGAGACACTGGGCATGTCGTTTAGTTGTCATGGAAACTGGGAGAAGAAAGGCCCTAGAGCTTGTAGCAAGCAGCACTCAGTAATTTGCGAGGAACCATTTTCTGAAAAAGAGAATGTGGTTGTTAGTCTGGGATGATGTAGCAAATTATAGAAAGAGCTTTTCTGTCCTCTGCTGTGGAAAGAGCAAATTTAACTGATTGTTAAACACAATGCGTCCTCACACTCTCTGGGAAGGGTAATAATAATCAAGCTTTTCTTTTGTCAGGATGAGAAAATCAGGGTGTGGCCCTATTCAAATGAGGATACATAATGCAAATCTGATTTGCATCTCTCTCTCTCTCTCTCTCTCTCTCTCACACACACACACACACACACACATACAAGGCGAGACACTGGGCATGTCGTTTAGTTGTCATGGAAACTGGGAGAAGAAAGGCCCTAGAGCTTGTAGCAAGCAGCACTCAGTAATTTGCGAGGAACCATTTTCTGAAAAAGAGAATGTGGTTGTTAGTCTGGGATGATGTAGCAAATTATAGAAAGAGCTTTTCTGTCCTCTGCTGTGGAAAGAGCAAATTTAACTGATTGTTAAACACAATGCGTCCTCACACTCTCTGGGAAGGGTAATAATAATCAAGCTTTTCTTTTGTCAGGATGAGAAAATCAGGGTGTGGCCCTATTCAAATGAGGATACATAATGCAAATCTGCATTTAAGTAAACAATATATGGTGTGCTCTCATGCAGTACAATAATTCACGCATAACCTATTTTTTTATATAGGTATTATATGTGCTTCCACACACGTTGATTTCATGTGGTGTGAGATAACTCTTTATTCATCGTTTTTGTTCACACTTGTAAAATCTTTGCTAGGTTGCATAATAGAAACCAGGGCCTTCATCAAGGTATTTTGGTGCATATTTGAAGCAGACTGTAGAATTTCCTTCTAAGCAAGGCAGGCTGCCAGCACACGTATGAGAGGAGTCTGGCTGCTTTACAATGCTGCCTTCTGCTGGTGTCACTGCTAATCTTACGTCATCACAGTCTGCTGTCAACTTGCAGATCTTTCTTTCTTATTCTAAATTCATTTACACAAATTGTAATCTATATATACACACACAAACATTAAGATTTATTTTGTTTTTTGAAAGAAGTCTCTTATGCTCAAGACTGCATTTATTTGATCATAAATATAGAATAAAAGATAATAAAAACAGTAGTATTTTTAATCTACAAAAATATTGAGCAGAGAAAACTTTTTCAACATTAATAGGATGAGAATAACTTATTGAGCAGCAAATCAGCATAATAGAATGATTTATGAAAATTGCATTTTGAGTGTATATTAAAATAGTCCATAGTACATATATATGTGTGTGTGTGTGTGTGTGTGTGTGTGTGTGCATGTGCGTGTGCGTGTGTGACCCTGGATCACAAAACCAGTCATAAGTAGCACGGGTATATTTGTAGCAATAGCCAACAATACATTGTATGGGTCAAAATTATTGATTTTTCTCTTATGCCAAAAATCATTAGGATATTAAGTAAAGATGTTTTGTAAATTGCCTGCCGTAAGTATATCAAAACATGATTTCTGATTAGTAATATGCATTGCTAAGAACTTCATTTGGACAACTTTAAAGGCGATGTTTTCAAGTATTTAGATTTTTTTTGCACCCTCAGATTCCAGATTTTCAAATAGTTGTATCTCGTCCAAATATTGTCCTATCCTAACAAACCATATATCAATGGAAAGCTTATTTATGTATAAATCTTAATTTAAAAAAAATGGACCCTTATGACTGGTTTTCAGGGTCACACATATATATATATATTCCAAAGTTGTGACCAATAGTGTGTGTGCACTGAAAAAAAAATGTTGTAAAATCAAAGTTCACTTAGAAATTGCTAGTAAATTTCACAAATAATTGGAAAGAAATGGCAAGTAACATATTGAATTAAACTTGAAACTTTTAAGTGTAAAGACTGAAACAGTATTTTCTTGTAAAAAGAACTACAATAATCTTAGATTTTTTTACAGCTTCAAAGAAGCATTTTTTACAGTATGTGTGTGCATACACAACTTTTGTAAAAAAAAAAAAAATAGATTGACATATGAATTCATTCATATTACAGTATATTAATTCAAAAAAAAATATATATATATATACATTAAAATGTAAAAACAATAAAACAGTAAATTCTTCTGTAAATTCAATCTGACCATGTAAATTACATGTAATTTGAATGATAAATATATATTTAAAAAATAATAATTTTATAAGATTTCTTAGTGTGAGCGTGTTATATAAGAACAATTGTATCAGAATAATATAAGTGCAAAGTTTTAGTTAAATCTCTATTGCCGCTATTTAATATTATATGATGTTGCTTCAGATCCACTACCTGATGGTGCTGTCTGCCAACTGGGCCTATGTGAAGGATGCGTGTAAAATGCAGAAATACGAGGACTGCAAGTCCAAGGAGGAGCAGGAGCTGCATGACATCCACTCTACACGCTCCAAGGAACGGCTCAATGCCTACACATAAGACAGGAAGCAGCAGTGAGGGCGAGAGGACCCTCAGTGCTTTCACTTCCTGTTGAAGGGAGTTTTGGCACTGGTGCAGTCCAGGTGGTGTGTCGTATGACCAAACCCCATGGCCAACCCATTACCTCTCGCACAAACATTATTATTATTATTATTATTATTATTATTATTATTATTATTATTATTATTATTAGTGCTAGCAGTAGTGTTGTAGTTTTTTCACTTTATTGTATTTCATTTTTTTTAAAAGATTGTGCTGGTTCTTTTTTTTCCACCACATATTACAATTTTTGAATATATTTTTCTTAACACATTTTAGTATTAATACATGAATCATTCTTATGTAGAGGGTCGGTTATTGGGGTGAAAAAAAGCACATTTTTATGTGTGTCTGTCTCTTAAGGTCTCGTTATCAAGGACTTAAAGCATGAAAAAAAAATCTGGTAAAAAAAAATTATAATTCTCTCTCTCTTTTTCTTTCACTTTCTTTCCTTCTTTTTTTTTAATCATCAGAAGGTATGAAGCCCGATACCAGCAGATGGCTTGCTCGTTCTGCATTATTTTGGTAAAAGAAAACTCAAAAACTGAGACAGAAAAGACAAAAAACAAAATTAAGATATAACAGATGTACCATAAAGTGTTTATTTATTATTTTTCTACAGATGTCATTGCATAGCTTAACAAGATGATACAAAAATGACAAAATGGTTATTATTTGCTTGCTGTGCCAGTCCAGTTTTCAGACCGCATCGTGCCAGTAAGTGGCGTTGTAACTTCTCTGAGAGGGAGAGGAACTTTCTGACCACTTTTAAGTGGACATGAAGCATTTAAATCTTACTACAGTGTCAACGACCCCCTCTTCAGCAACAATGCAATTCTCCCTTTACTGGAAGCAAGCGACACATGCACAAGCCTACAGCGTTTTCACCCCCTCTTTTTTATTTTCCTACACAAATAGATATAGACACAGTTAAGCCGACAGGGTTTTTATTTGACGTTTTTTGATTTTTAGCTTTTGTACATAGCCATTCTGTAAATGTTTGTACTGTACGTTAGCACTTATAAACTTCAGGTGAATTCGTATTAGATTGAAAAACACATTCCATGACAGGATAGGGTGGGTGGAGGGAGGGTGTTCTTCTAAAAACCCAAGAAAAAAGATGGAGGAGAAGCAAAAACCAGGCGACACGGTAATGTTTTGTGACAGATCACTTTCTTTCGGTGGGCTTTTTGTTTCCAAAGGGGAATATCACGATGAAAACAAATATTTCAAGAGCTTATATTATCTTGATGACAGTTACTCATTGTCTTGCTAACAAGTTATTATTATATTGGACGATGGAAATGTCTTCTCATTCTTTTAATGCCTGGCAAGTCATGTTCTGTCAGTGTTTCTAAGAGCTAGTATCGTGCACTTATTTGACCATTTTGTGAGCTCTTTCTCGGTGTAAGTGCATTGGGGTTCCGGCTGCGAAGTCACACCCCTGTAATGTTAGGTAAAGACTGTGAACCTAAGTGTTATTTGTGGCATGGTCATGCATTCAATGGTAATCGTTTTTACTGGATCAAAAAATAATAATGATGATAATAATAATAATAATGGAAAAAATCAAAAAGAAAAAAAAAACAAGAAAACAGTTTTCATTTAATCTTTTTATGAGTTTGTTATGCGACTGTCTTGCTGGGTCATCCCCTTCCTCATAATGTGCAGTAATTTGAATCCTATGCTAAATAGGCTACATTGCGCTGAAACTCCTACTCTTCGATGGTAGTGTTTGATTTGTGCCTGTTTACTTTGTGGTGATCTCTCTAACTCCTCTGAGTCCTCCTCTAACCTTTATATTACTATTGCTTGTTGAGCCCCTGATTTTATGCTTTCTCTGAACTCTCACCTCTCTCTCTCTCTCTCTCTTACTCTGGCTCACTCTCTCTGTCCTCGTATACTAGTAGTCTTTTTGTACTCTCACTAAAGAATGCTTAGTAGCAAGCTGTACCATTCATTTGTTTTGTACATAAATGTGCCAACCGCTTGACAGTGGCTTTTCTGATCTGTAGGGACAAACTGCTTGCATAAATAAACTACACTGGTGTACTTGTTAATAAATACGGTTGTTGTTGTTCTTAACAGTCTGTGTATCATGCTGGAGTTATGCACTTCACACACACTCTGAAAATGTTTTGCTGGTTTACTTTTATGTGGTAAGATCTAAATTAATTGCATTTACTTCTGACTAAAGAGGAGACACAAAGCAATTTGTAAAGGTCAAATTTAGAAAACAGTGTTTTCAACTGGTTGCATATGATATGTTTCACATTACTGTGTGTTTATATATGACTCTAAAGCTTTAGATATGTATTTTCATGAACTCACTTGGTTGTTCAACAAAAAACGTTTCAGTGGTATGTACACTCTTAAAAATAAAGGTGCTTCACGATGCCATAGAATAACTTTTTTGTCTAAATGGTTCCATAAAGACCCTTTAAGATATGAAGAACCTTTCTGTTTCACAAAAGGTTCTTTGTGGCAAAAGAAGGTTCTTCAGATTATAAAAAGGTAAGAAAGAGATGGTTCTTTAAAGAACCTTTGACTGAATGCTTCTTTGTGGAACCAAAAATGGTTCTTCTATGGCATCGCTTGAAGAACCTTTTGAAGCACCTTTATTTTTAAGAGTGTACTACAACTATTAGGCCTAACATATCAAATATTTAGGACACCGATGTTCAGAAGCTCACCAAGGCTGCAATTACTTGATGAAAAATACAGTAATATTGTGAAATATTATTACAATTTAAAAGAACTGTTTTCTGTATTTATTTTAAAATGTAATTTATTTCTGTGATGGCAAAATTAAATTTTCCGCAGCCATAAATCCAGTCTTCAGTGTCATTTTTAAATCATTTAATGCATCATTGCCAAATAAAATTATACATTTATTTAAAAAAAATGTCAAAAATAAAAAATCTTACTGACCCCAAACTTTTGAAAGGCATTGTTTCTACAGCTCTGTTATTTTCACTCAAACCACATGGAGGCAGGCTACAAAAGGACATCTCTCTTGTCTTAGCCCACTGTATATAACTTGATAAAGGCCTTATCATTTTAAGGTCTTATAATTTTTTCCATATAGTTTCACAGCAGTTATTTCAAGGTCATGATGTTATGTTCAATAAACTTTTTTTCCCCCAGTGAACTATACATTTTATAGACAAATATATATATATATATTTTAAATCTCAACCTACTAAAATAAAATAAAAAACTAAATAATAATAAGCTATAATAAAAACTATAATAACATAATAATAGAAGCAGAATTGCTGCCTTCGAGAAAAATCAGTGGTGCCAGCAATTCACTGCACTTTTTGAACACTTATAATTTATTTACATACTAAGGAAGAATATCAAAAAGAAACAGATTAAATTCCACAAAACTGAGCAGAAATGATTGCAACAAGGTAAATGCATGCAAACCAGATATTGTTATAAGGATGGACACACTTGATGTTTTTAATTAAGCATGTTTTCCCTTGATACTCACACTGGCCTTCAAAAACACACCCTTGGCAATTAATCATGTTTGACAAATTGGTACTAAAGGGAAATCTGTTCATTTTCTAATGTACCATACGCAGCTTTTATTCATACACTGTCAGTTGTCAGTATGTTTTTGTCTCAGTATTTTCTGAAGCCATTATATATCTCTCAGACCCAGACAGAAGAGTTTGGGCTGTCTGCTCTCAGTAAATCATGACCTGTACTTCAGCTTACACACAGGTGTCATCTAGCCTCCATGCACGCAAACACTTCACAGCCAAAATCAGTTCATACACCAGGTGAAGGAGTGTCTGCGAGCGGTCACGTGATGATGCTGAGAGAAGAGCCTTCTTGTAGTTCTAGCCGATTAGCGTGTGCCTGCAGGGCTTATCCTCCTCCTCGAACTCAGTCACACACACTAACGCACTCATACACACAAATAAACTCGCACACACTTCCCATCCCACTCTGTTCAACTTTAGTAACCTACTCAGCCTTGAGAAATCCTCTTTCTAATCTGGGTTCGGGTTCCCCCCCACCCATCCCAATCCTCCCGCTCTTCTCGGCTCTCACCTGCTAGCATGCTAAACAAGATGTGGGCTGTGAGGCACTTTTCTTGCTTTTCCTTGAGGACTGATAAAGTGTCGAGTGGGATCTGATGTGTGTGAGTGTGTGTCCGTGCTGGTTCATCTGACTGAAGGATGTATCGTCTGCTGGTGGCCCAGGTTCTACTGGGCTGCTGGGTTGTGGCACAACCCTTCTGTCCTTCCCAGTGCACCTGTGTGTATCACGGACGCAGCGATGGCACTGGCAGCAGGTAAGGACATTGTTTCACTATAGTAATAATAATAACGGAGATAATTAATAATTAGAATAATTTAGCATTTAAAGAAATTATCATTTACATTTTAACCACAAACAAATGTTCATATATGTATAAGTTTATTATGTGAAAAAATAAAATAGAAGACATATGTATAATGGAATAACTTAAAATATATGTATTTTTCATCAATATAACAATACAATAAAAATTGTGTAATATACATTTTTTTTTTTTTACAGATTGGCACTGAAGGGAAATCAGTTTATTTCCTAATATAGGCTTTCTTAAGCAGTTGCCTAATGATGTTTTATTTATACATTGCAATCATATTTTGAATTTAGAAATTTTACGTTTTTAAGTTGAAAAATGTGAAGTTTTTCTAAGTCTTTGAATTTTTTTTAAATGTGTCATTCAATTACAGTCTAGAATGTAAATGTATCTATATTAATATAATTCTAAATATACTTTTTAATAAATAAACTGGATTTCAAATATGCTAATAAGTCATCCCTTGAATAAAAATAGATTTTAAACTATCACGTGGGTTATTAGCTTGTGTTTATCTGAGGGGTTTAGCTGTAGAGTGTGAACACACATGTTAGAGGAAACCATGTGTAGCCTACTGAATTATAAAGGGTGAATACAGAATCAGACACATGCAAATGTAAATGTAAATTACATAAATGTAAAAAAAAAAAATCCTTTCTTTATGAAGCTGATATTCTATAGGCCTTGGGTTCTCAACTCTGGCCTTCAAAGTCCACTCTCCTACAAAGTGTAGCTCCTCCAACCCTAATCAAACACACATGAATAAGCTAATCAAGGTCTTCAGAAGAACTATAAGTTGCAGGCAGGTGAGTTTGATCAAGGTTGGAGCTAAACTCTGCAGGAAAGTGGATCTCGAGAGCCAGAGTTGAGAACCCCTGTTATATAGGCTAATAAAATCCACAGCGAACATCATCACACATAGGCTCATATTGGTCAAAGTGATTAACATCTGCTATAAAAATCTGCCCCAGGTCTGTTCTATGCAATGACCCTGACATGTCAGATATTCCAGTCAACGTCCCTGTGGACACGGTGAAGCTGCGGGTGGAGAAGACAGCTGTGCGTCGAGTGCCCACCGAGGCCTTCTATTACCTGCCCGAGTTACGCTACCTGTGGATAACATACAATTCAGTCACGTCTGTGGATCCTGGCAGTTTCTACAATCTGAAAGTTCTTCATGAGCTACGGCTGGATGGGAACATGATCGGTACCTTTCCCTGGGAGTCTCTGAAAGAGATGCCCAGTCTCAGGACTTTGGACCTGCACAACAACCGCTTGACTAGTATTCCTGTGGAGGCAGCACTTTACTTGGTTAACATCACCTACCTAGACATTTCTAGTAACAAGCTGACTACCCTTCCCTCTGACCTGGTGGACATCTGGCCTCCATTTTCAGGCATCCTGCCCAGTGCCAATGCATCACAAAAGACTGTTCTTGGTGGGTAAAAATGATGATGGCGCATCTTAATTATGCATTATGATGTTGAATATACATTATGACAGAGTTTTAAAAAATCTTTCTTTTAGAGGGTTACCATTCTAAATGACCTTAGTCAGCAAAAGAAACCCAGTATTTGAGGAGGATTCACATTAGCATTCATAGTAAGTTGTATGAGCTTTCCCTTGAGAAAAAGTTGTGCATTTAATTGTATTAAATGTGCACTTGTAGTGTACTTCATACCTTAAAAGTATGTTTTTAACTGTACTTGCAGATAACATAATATTAATGAAATAGGCCACTTAACTGTACTTAAACATCAGGAGTTCAACCGTAATTTTACGAAGCTACGAGAATAGTTTTTGTGCACAAAGAAAACAAAAATAACAACTTTATTCAACAATTCGTAAACAGCATATGCTATTCTGTGTCAGCTGCGTCACGCGGATACGTTGTTTTCGTTCAAATTAAAGCGTAAACAACGTAGAAAACGTGTTTATGCTTTGATTTGAACGAAAACAACGTATCCGCGTGACGCAGCTGACACAGAATAGCATACGCTGTTTACGTTCAGTTGATATTCTCCAAAATGGCACCAGGGTGACGCGGAGGAGACGAATTGTTGAATAAAGTCGTTATTTTTGTTTTCTTTGTGCACTAAAATATTCTCGTAGCTTCGTAAAATTACGGTTGATCACCTGATGTCACATGGATTATTTTACCGATCTCCTTGCTACGTTTCTGGACCTTGATCGTGGTAATTACATTGCTGTCTATGGGAGGGTTAGAGAGCTCTCAGAATTCATCAAAAATATCTTAATTTGTGTTCCGAAGATGAACAGAGGTGAGTAATTAATAACAGAATTTTCATTTTTGGGTGAACTATCCCTTTAATGTTTTTTTGTGTTTTTAATCATGCTGATTCTGATGTGTTTACTTTAGCACATGTAAAATACTGATTTATAATTAACTGTAGTGTATTATTCAGTGTATTATTACATTTAAAGTTAATATTTGTAAATGAACAAAATTTCAACATTACTAAGTTCATTGTATTTAATATAAACGTAACTATAAAATATATTTTTATTTAAAACGAAAATACATACAATCAAGAGTACAAAAACATTTTGAAGCATATTTGTTTATATTTTTTTCTGCAATAAGTACTCGAGCATATGCTGAAGTGTACTTCTTTTTCACAAGGGTTGGCTCACTAAAATGCAAAGAATCTGGGTGGAGACATATGAAATACCAAGTAAAAAGATTCAACAATATCCCTCTCTTCACCATTTCTTTTTATAGTAAGTCCATGTATGATCTTTAAATATCTAAATCTAGGCTGTGTCTTCATGGGCTCTCCCAAGTTAAGTACAAGCTAATCTTCTAATGGGACTTCCAACTGTGTGGAAGGATCTGAGATTTGAGTTTCTTTGAAGTGCTCATCTGGGAAGAGGATGATTCATAAGTTTGCTCAGTGACATCTAAACAACAGATCTCAGCTGAAGAGAAAGTTATAATAGTTTGATAGATTCATGTGTGTTTGACATAATGGATATAAAATTTAAGAGTACACTTTTATGGCATTTAGTGAAAGTATAGAATACTTTATCAGCTGGTCAAGGTGACATGATAAAATGTGTGGTGAAAATTTTGTCAAATGTGTTTTCATTAGGGCTCATGTTAATTGAGTTTTAGTCTACAACAACATTGATCACGGTTGGCCAATGCACATGGATCATGTAACATGATCAAATAAGTGGATTTTTCAGTGATTCTTTCTGTAGGTTACATTGTTACGCCAGTAGATGACGACAAAAGGCTGTGTTTATGAGTGAGACATTTGAATCATTTATTCAATGCAACATTCAGGAAGTGACTGTTCTTATTAGTGAGTCATTGAATCAGTCACTTAGCTGATCCGTACAATAGTGAATTCGGAACAGCATACTAGCATACTACACCTACAATTTTTCTGCAAAATATTTATATAACAGAAACTTTATTAGTAGTATGCCAGAATGCTGCTCCCAGTTCAGTCTCTGACTTAATTAGTAAGTCACTGAATTATCCTATCCTATTATCCTTAATATATTATATTAAGAATGCCACTACAAGTATTAAGCTTGGAGATTTGTGATGGTTTGATTAGAATTGTTTTCTTCGGAATATAATTGGCAATATTGTGTTTAAAATGTTACTTGATATAAAATGTACATTTATTTAACTGTTCAAAAGCAAAATCAGAGTCTCAGTACAACAGCACTTTTGCTTGTGTGATATTGCTTAAATGCAACTGCATATTCTGTACTTTCACAAGGTGCCATACAAGTGTAAAAATGAGCACAAAAGCACAATATGACCGGGATTTACCCTGTATCATCAGAATATTAGCAGTTGTCACCATCCAGCTGTTGAATTGCATCAGTGGACCGTCTAATTCCCTGTTTACAGTCAACCGATCTTCATCCTGCCATAGACAGAATTATGGGCACACTGTGGTGTTAATGTCCAACACCTGATGTGTGCGAGCCAGACAAGACATCCTGGCTTCAAAATTTACAACTTTCTGATTTGATGGGAGTAAACTGCTGTTTTATTATAGTAGTTGAATAATAAACCTGTGGTCTTTATTTCAGTATGTTGAGATGTTCAGTAAGTGAAGTAATGTTTCTCCATTCTGTTTCTGGGTTTGGCATGATCCCTTTATCCAAACTATCTTACATTGTATTGAAGGTATACATTTTGTCAGTTTATGCATTCCAAATATGTCTTTCAATTCAAACATGCAAATCAAACACGACTTTGCTGGTTGTGCAATTCGAACTGAAGCAAAACATGATCATTCAAATTTGAATGTAAGGAACTAGAATTCACTTGACAGTCTTGTTTGAAAAAAAGTGTTAAAAGCTTGGAGTTTGAAGGTTTGTAGGCCTTTGTACATAACATATTGCTTTCATAAACATATTCTAAGCAACTATTTCAATATTTTCAGGTCTACAGGACAACCCCTGGTACTGTGACTGTCGGATTGCCAAGCTCATTGAGTTGTCTAAAATGGCCAGCATACCTGTGGTGTTGATGGATCAGGTTCTGACATGCAGTGGACCAGAGAACTTAGCTGGTGTTCTGTTCCAGCGGGCTGAACTTGATCAGTGCAGCAAGCCATCAGTTATGACTTCAGCAACTAAGATCACTTCACCACTGGGCAGCAATGTGCTTCTGCGGTGTGATGCCACTGGTTTCCCTACTCCCACCCTTCTCTGGACCAGAGCTGATGGGACGACGGTCAATGTCACAGGTATGAGTGTCACAAAGTATCTTAATTTGTGCATTTTGAATCAGATTACAGCATTTTCTTTTTTGTAGTTGAGTGACAGTCTTCACCTAAAATCATACCATGCGCAATTAAATATTTGAAGGCTTAAAAAGACTTTTAATCGCATATAGTCCAGTTAACAAGTATACATGCTGGACGAAGTCAGACTGGTCCAGTTTCAGCTGGATTAAAATGTTTACATGACCTTTTAAAAAGACAAATTATTGTGAATGAAATGAACTTTTAAAGTGCAAACTAGGACTGTTTGATTATCAGTTATAGTATTGATATTAGATATTTAATTGTTCATGTTCGTTCATGTTTTTACATTTTGATTACTCAAAGTTGAAAACACTGACAATTTTTTAACACCGTAAAAAGCCATTTTAACAAATCTGATGAATATCCATTTTTATACTGTACGTTATAATTGTGTGATGCTTAAATACAGTTGTAACATTTAAAATGATTTAGTGTTTTATTTTTTATTTATTTAGACAAAACAATATATCATATAATATAATTAAAAGAATAGTTCACCCAAAAATGACAATTTTGTCATCATTTACTCACCCTCATGTTGTTCCAAACCTGTATGAGTTAGTTTTTTTCTTTTTAAACACAAAAAAGAAGATTTTTTGAAGAACCAAACAGTTGTTGGTCCCCATTAACTTCCATAGGAAAATAAATGCTATGTATGAAATACTAAAGGGGATCATCAACTGTTTGATTACCAGCATTCTTTAAAATATCTTCTTTTTTTGTTCAACATAAGAAAGAGACTCATACAGGTTTGGAACGACATGAGGGTGAGTAAATGATGAGAAAATTGTCATTTTTGGGGCGAACTATCCGTTTAATGTCAGCCGATTTTAGTGACTGGCCAAAAAAGAATTATCAGAAAACGGTCCAGAATTTTATATTGTGCATGCCTAATTTAACCCTCAAATGGTCCTCATTTCCTGTTTACACTTATGGTCTTTGGGGTCAGTATGACCCCAAAATTGATAGAGTAATTGTAAAAAAAATTATAAATTTTTAATCATACAAATAATATATCATTTTTTTGTTTACTTTTCATCTATACTTTAAAGCTGTGTTTTGGGTGATATAAAGTACTTTTGTACCTATTTACCACAAAATTCCTCAACTACACCATTAGCTTGCATGTAAAATATTACATTTTCATGACAAAATCACTTAAATGATTATCTAAATTTGATTTAAAGGGATACTCCACCCCAAAATGAAAATTTTGTCATTAATCACTTACCCCCATGTCGTTCCAAACCCGTAAAAGCTTTGTTCGTCTTCGGAACACAATTTAAGATATTTTGGATGAAAACCGGGAGGCTTGTGACTGTCCCATTGACTGCCAAGTAAATTATACTGGCAAGGTCCAGAAAATTATGAAAAGCATCGTCAGAATAGTCCATCTGCCATCAGTGGTTCAACCGTTTTGTTTTCTACGCATACAAAAAGTATTCTCGTCGCTTCATAATGTTACGGTTGAACCACTGATGGCAGATGGACTATTCTGACGATGCTTTTCATACTTTTCTGGACCTTGACATTGTAATTTATTTGGCAGTCTATGGGACGGTCACAAGCCTCCCGGTTTTCATCCAAAATATCTTAAATTGTGTTCCGAAGACGAACGAAGCTTCTATGGGTTTGTAACGACATGGGGTAAGTGATTAGTGACAAAATTTTCATTTTGGGGTGGAGTATCCCTTTAAGTTGTTTCTAGATATTGATCTAGGTGTTAGGTGTAGAATTCTGCCATCTGCTGGTTAGAGAAAAACTTGTTTTTGATAAAAAAGTGTAATGACTATATATATCCAGCAGAGGCCTATAGAGATCCATTCATTTTTCTGGAAGTGGCTAACTGGTCCTCTCACAACTTTTCTGATATATATTTTGTAAATACATATTGAAACATTATAAAATACATTAAAAACAGTATTTTTCTCAAAGGTTAGAGTTTGTTTTTGTTGTTTGAGGTATTTAGAAGTGCTTGCTTTTGCATTTGTGCTCTAGTATCAGGCCTTCGTTTTGTGTGGACATTTTCAGATTTATGCAGGATTTATTGATTTTATTAGCCAATTTCTATAAAAATGCTCTCTGTTGCAGTCACACACATGTGTGTGTGTGTGAGAGCGCACATGAGTGAGCATGTCTTTTCTACATTGCATTTGTACTCTAGTACCAGGCCTTCATTTCTGTGCGGACATTTTCAGATTTATGCAAGATTTTTTTTTTTTTTTTTGTCAAATGAAAAAGAAAAAAAAAGAAGATTTTTTTCGCATTTCCCATTCATTTCAATGTGGGGTCATATTGACCCCAAAGACCAGATTTGTGTAAAGAGTCAATCCACTGAAGGCGAGCGTAGTGAGAACCCAAGTGCAGTTTATTTACAGAGTGATCCAAACAATAATCCAAGACACAGACTTGACATAGCATGAGCAGACTTGACACAAACAGACTAGACTCACCAACAGCGGGTTAAATACATTCGATACACGACGAGGGCACAATGTGAACATGAAGCTACTTATAGGAAACAAGGAGGGTCACATGACATGAACAAACCAATGGGGAACAAGACACATGACTAAGACTACCAATCAGAACATGACACAATGAACAGGGGAACCAAATGGCATGAATACATGAGGGCAAGGGAAGCATGACACAATTACAAAATAAAAGACATGGAAAACATGAACATGAAACAAAACACCACATTACAATTTGTAAAAAAAAACTTTTACGTACCTTCAGAACAACCGAATCAAGCCCAGTTTTTTTTAATGTGAATATAGATAGAAAGTGTAGAAAAGTCACAAAATCTTATTCCACTGAAAGGAAGGGAACCATTTTTTTTTTAAAGTAAATTTGATTGGGGTCATATAGACCCCAAGGACCGATTTTAATGTTACATATTATTTATAATATAAATAATATATAAACATTATTTTTTATTTTAATATATAAATTATATGATCAGTAGCATCAATATTATATATCGTTTGTTGTCTATAACATAAAAATAATTATTGTCTTTTTGGTGTCAGGCAAAATTTAACTGCTGGTTCATCCCTAATAATTCCTAATAATGCCTAATAATGCATCCTTGGTGAGCATAAGAGGTTTCTTTTCAAAACATTTAAAAAATCTACATCCCTGTAACATATTGCTTTCATGAAGGCAGGATTTTAAAATGGTTCATCCCTGTAAAAATACTTAGTACAATATCTAAAGTATCTTTTAACCTTTTTCTTACAAATTCTAAGTTATTGCTTACCATTACATGTCTCTGTAGTTGTGCAGGAATCTCCAAGCGAGGGGGTCCGTTGGTCCATCCTCAGTTTACACAGTATCGTGTTTAAGGATGCAGGCGATTACCGCTGCAAGGCCAAGAACTTCGCAGGAAATGCCGAGGCGTACATCACCCTGTCTGTGGATGGGGTGCAGGCCTCAACGCCATCCCCACCGATAAACATAACCAAGCAGCCCAACGATCAACCCATGACTTCTTTTGCTGGGACTAAGATGCCATTGTATACTACCTTAAGCCCTGCTCTCACAACCAGAGCTGCCATGACCACAGTTCCACCACTGACAACCAGGAAGAGTCCGGGACCAGGTGGAGGAATTCAGAGGTCTCCACCGGCTCTAGACAAGCCAGCTAAGATCCAGCAAAGCAAGGGCGGCAAAGGTTCACTGACGAGTGAAAAGTCTAAAAAGAAAGCTGATCTCAAAGACATTGAGGTAGTGGAGGAGACAAGTGACACGGCGGTCTTACTGTGGAGAGCTGAAGGTTTGCCAAGCGACTCACCCTTAACAGTGTTCTACTTTCCATACGGTGCAAAAGACGATAAGGAGACGGTCGATACGGAAGTTGGTCAAGGGAAGCTGCTCTTGGAGTATCTGATGCCTAACCAGGTCTACACGGTGTGTTTGGTTACTAAGGGTTCGGTGGCTGGGAAAGAGCAATGTGTGGATTTCACTACTCTGGATAACGGTGGAGAAGATGGGCAGAACAAAATCCTGATGATCGCCAGTGGGATCGCATGCGCAGTCGCGGTGCCTCTCATTGTGGTGTTGCTCTACAAGATCGTATGTCTCTGCTGTAAAGGAAACAGTAGCAGGAACAATGGACAAGACGACGACCTTTCAAAAGAGACGTACGTAAAGTTCGAGACGCTCACTATGAAACAAAGGACTTTGAACGGGCAGGCGAATGATCTTTGGGCACGAAGGCAGACTCAGGAGTCAGAGAGGATGCTTCTGTGCTCACGGTCAAGCATTGACTCTCAAATGACGTACAAGAGTGACAGCTCTAGATCCGAGTATCTGTGCTAATGTATAGCATATCGGCTTTGTGTGTTACTTGGTATTACTTGGTATTAGACAAGCTGTGGCAACATCTGTTTTAAAAGTTTAGCTCTTGATACGCTGTCAAACTCGTTGCCTTACAAGACTTATCTTGACCCACAAATTGTCTCATTGCCCATTTTTTGAAAGTTATATTCTTCACCGAATCACAGACAATTCTGTATTTGTTTTTTTTAATGAAATACAGTGTACATAAATGTAAACATTGTGTATTTTTGTGTACTTCAACATATGATTAAGTAGAGTTACATATGAGCAGTGTTGGGGGTAATGCAGTAACGTAATCAGATTATTTTTTTAAAGTAACTAGTAAAGTAATGCATTACTTTTTCATTTAGAAGGAAATATCTGAGTTACTTTTTCAAATAAGTAACTCCGGTTACTTTGTTTCCATGTATTGACTGACAGCTCTGGTGTTGCCATGTTGAGAGAAATCAGGAGTAAGTGCAGAGCGTTGTGTGTGAACATGATCTTACTGTAGTTCTAGACTAAATATGAACATGTGTTTACTCATCTCACCTGCACAAAAACAGATTCAGTATTCCTCAAAATGAATAAAAACGCAAATGCAAACTCAGAATATTATACAAACCTGCAATAATTAAATATGTTAAATAAGACAAATATCATTTATGTATTTAATCCCATTTTATTAACCAATGTCTTTGCTACTGACCTTCAATGATCCAATTTAACTAAAAAATTACACATTTGTGTTTGATTTTAGTTATTGCTGAATAGTGTTGAACTTTCTCCTCCTGCGTCATATTCTTCATGCGATTTGTTTGCGCGGTGCCCTCTACTGTACAGATGTGAATTTACATTTCCTTCAGCCTGAGGCGTATTCATTTCACTTTTCTTATGAAAGGGCTTTTATGTTTGTAAAAGAAGAACTTTTTTATATTAAAAACAAACAAGCAAGCCCTGCCCAGATTTCAAAAGTAACTCAAAAGTAACGTAACACATTACTTTCCATAAAAAGTAACTTAAGTAACGTAATTAGTTACTTTTTTTAGGGAGTAACGCAATATTGTAATACTTTCCCCAACACTGATTATGAGTCATGGAAATTTTTATTAAACCTTTTTACTGCCTAAATAAAGAATTTCATTTTTTCCTCAACAGGAACCATTGATATTTTTGTGTTATGTGCTGCAACAGAAAAGTTAACACACCAAATTTACGATAGGCACCAGCTTCTCTTACGTTTGGTTTCAATTTAAATTATGTCAGAAAAGGATCAAACCAAGCAGAAACAGATACTTCGTTACAATAGCATATAATAACATTTCTGAGATGATGTGTGTGAGTGAGAATGAATATGCATTCCTCTAAATGCAACATTTGCATTTGATGTTTCAGTCCACTTCTTATTTTTATGTCTTCTCTATCTTTCTACCTCTCTATCTTTTGTTTAATTGTACATGTATATGCAATGTTTGTGTAAATGTATTTTTATGTGCTGTAAATCCTTTATGTGTGCCATGCATGTCACTAAAATGTCCATATTCCCATTTTCTTCTATTAGAATGTATAAAAATAGTATCATTTGCAATTCAGGATACAGCACAGCTTGAGCATAATTTTGAAATTTCTATAAATTAAAGAATCCTGAAAAAACAGATCACAGCTTCCACAGAAAAATATTAAGCATTACAACTGTAATTGAATTACTACATTAATTTATTAATGTTTCTTGAGCTCCAAATCAGCATATTTGAATGATTTCTGGAGGATCGTGTGACACTGACGAATGGAATAATGGCTGCTGAAAATTCAGCTTTGCCATCACAGGAATAAATGACATTATTTATTTATTTATTTTTAATTGTAATAATACAAAATTACTGGTTTTACTGTTTTGATCAAATAAATGCTGCCTCTGTGAGCAAAAGGATGTTCTTGCAAAAAATGAAGAATGTTCTAGCGATCAGAAAAGCATTATAGCATCATTAGTTATCTTTTGTTCAGTACAAGTTTATAAAGTTTAGATGTCAGTTGAATTGGTAATTGAATTCTGTCCAGCGTGACGTCATAGTGGGTCCTGTGAGTGTGTGTCAGAGCAGGCATTGTGCTGCATTCCCTGCTTAAGCAGAAGGACAGGGAAGCTGTTGTCCCTGTACCTGCCACATTTTTCCCAGAGCAGTGCTTCTAATTTCTGTGACAATATGACAGTCATATGTATAATAAGATTGCTTGTACGCAGGGTAAATAGGAAACGGGAGAAGCACTTACAAGCCCTGTCCACTTCAACTCCGGAGATTCTTTACTCTGAGGGTCAGGCAGAGCTTATGCAGACACAACAACACTGGTTTATTGGTTTGTGTGTGAGAGAGGAAGCATCCCATTACTCATCAGCAGCACAAAAAGGTGTGACCACTCCTACTAAATCACATGCATAGACTGGGAAAGGCCAGGAGGTGAACTCAGGGTGACTTGTGTTATTCTTTTAAGTGTTAGAAGGGTAGTTTTTGTGTTTCTCAGGCTTAGGCGCAGAGTCTTACACCAGGGAAAACCCTCTTCTGAGCCCTTGCTGGTCTCACCATGTGTCAAATTTACCATGGGACTGTCAGGAATTTCATACTTTGCTTCCAAAACAGCTAGAGAGCAGGAGGACCAGAGACTCTGTGTGTATATGTGTGCCTGACACAAACCTGGCCGTCCTACAGGACTCTCACTTTCAACCTGCTTTGTGCGAACAGGACACCTCTGGGATACAGATGCACTTTTTGGAGACTTTTCACCCAGGTTCTCATTTAGTTGGAGCTGGTTGGCTGCATGTGTAAGATGTGTAGGGGTTACAGCTGCATGGTGTGGTGCTGTGATCGGGGAAATACCTAAGAGGACAGGCCTGTAGAAACTGAGATAAGATTATGTTCTGGAGGACGATAGCAGCTACCTTTCATTTGTGGTTTTGGATGGTGCGTATAGGCCCTGCTGAAGCTTCAGGCCGTGTGGAAGGAGCATTATGCTGGGGTGGACGACCCTGGGCTGCTGGAAACTTCAGCTGTGTGGGTAAGTCCGTATGCTCATTGACGTTTTGTTTGTGTGATGTTTCAATCAAATATATATTTAAAAATATATTTTTATTTTATTATTTTATTCATTTGTTTTTTGCTAGTATCATTAACCAAAACCTTGAGGTTATGTGTTAAGGGATGCTTGTGTATGAAAAAACATACACTTTCAAAAGGAGAACTTATTACAGAAGTAATATACATAAAAAGTGTATTATATATATATATATATATATATATATATATATATATAGTGTTTTTATTTGTGCAACATGTCTTGAGAGAGCATGTTTGAATGCATACAAGCTCAAGTGAGGTTTGAGAGTCACTGCAGAGGAGAAGATTTGCATCAAATGATTTAAAGTCTGGTCTGTTCCTCATATAAAGCTATCAAGCGGGCCAGGAAGATTTGAAATAAAAATCAGGAGATTTTATGGTACTTTAATTGTGCTTTTAGTCATTTTTGAGGCTTATTGGTAATGGTCACCATCCAGTTTTTTGTATGGAAGAAAAAAAATCTCTCCATAAACACCAAAGTAACGTTGTGTTCCACGATACAAGAATGTACAGGAATGAACCACATGAGCTGAGTCAATAATGACTTGCAATGAATGGGCGACCTGTTGCTTTAATATTTAATAGGATGGCCATTATGTCTATGAAGAAATAAAATCTTATTTGCAAACAAAAAAAGGTTAATGAAGCACTAAATCATAAGTCTTTTTGGACCCACTGCTTTAGAGCCACAGTGAGAAAGGAACTTGACCCTCCCTTTATGAATCATAATATTTATCCTTATCAGCATACGTCTAAATATCTTGTTGAATACCATTTAAATCAGAGTACTTCTTAAATATGAAGAAAAACTCCCTTTAATTAAAACAAACAAACTGGCTAAACATAGCTGCCGTTGAAGGATTAGTTATTTGTTGCTTGATAGACTTTGTAGAAATCTTCAATCATTTACACTTAACTCAGAATTCCTCCTCATCTAGGTTGCAAATAGTGACTGACTATTGATTGATAAATACTAACCATCATCATATTCAACATTTTCCGTTATTTGTCTCTGCACATCCTAGCAACATGGCTGTGTGTTTTTGTAATCCAATCAATCCTCCACCATGGTGTGTTGCTAAGATACAGTTGCTTTATTTCTACAGGCATCTGTGAGATCGATGTGTGAACCTCTCCCTAATAAAGCATGAAAAGACCTGTCGCTTAGCAACATTAATTCACATTCTGAGTGACATTATAGGTGCTAATATGGATAGGGAAGAAAGAGGAAATAATTAGCAATTTTATGACCAAAGAAAGAATGTATTTGTTAGCCGACAGGCCTCATTTATCAAACAGCTTTATTTTAGGGTCTCACTATAAGATTTCAGGGAGGTTTCATGTTAAAGTCTTTGCAGACCACAGTTTCATCTCATCAACTTATGAGACAAAGTTAGTTTTTAAACATTTAATCCTTAGTTTAAATATGTAATCCTACTTTAAACTGAATTTCTGTTGACTGTATTTACAAAGATGCACAATATTATGTAAACAAATAAACTATGTTTATGATAAAACAAAATCTGTAAGCATGTCCTGCTTGATTGTAAATCATGTTTTACCGTTATGGTCAAAATATTTATTATAAGTCACTATAATTTGACACTGTAGATATATTGTTTGTTGCCATGCAGTTTAATTCTAAGAATGGATTTAGTATTTTGATTTGAAGAGCGTTTTGCACATAAACTTGTTAAAATGGTTATTGAACTTCAAATTAGGATCAGATTAGAAGTGATGTCAATGTTTAATCTTTTTCAAACAAAATCTGTAAGCATGTCCTGCTTGATTGTAAATCATGTTTTACCGTTATGGTCAAAATATTTCTTATAAGTCACTATAATTTGACACTGTAGATATATTGTTTGTTGCCATGCAGTTTAATTCTAAGAATGGATTTAGTATTTTGATTTGATTTTTTGATTATTATTCGTTTTGCACATAAACTTGTTAAAATGGTTATTGAACTTCAAATTAGGATCAGATTAGAAGTGATGTCAATGTTTAATCTTTTTCAATGTTAGTGTCCTTTTGATTAGTTTTCTCAGGTTTCTCTATTTGTCTCTTTAAAGATCCTGAACCTTATCTGTTACTTGGCCTTGGAAACAGCATTCAGAGAATGAACCTTGATGGGGACCAGAGAAGGATCGTGTCTAGGGTGGGAAGGTCCATCTTGTTGGATTTCCATTTAAGTGAGGGGACGATGTTTTGG